CTTCCTCTTTTCTCCCCGTTCGTTTATTTCATCTGTAGTCACTCTCAAAAAAGCACCCCTAACCAAAAAAAAAAAAAAAACAGCACCTACCCTCACCCTGAAACGCCTGCCCAACAGCGGAAGAAAGGGCGGGCGGGGGGAGGGGGAACAGAAAAAACAAAACCAAAAAAAACAGTGTCCATCGAATCTTCAGTCCAAAACAGGTTAACTGGATGGGGCACGTGTGGTGTTAAAAATATAAATATATAAAAATAAATAAAGAAAAGGCGGGTCTCCTGGGTAACCCGGCGGGCGGTGGTGAAAAGGTAGGGAAAAAAATAAAAAAAGGTAGGCAGTGCTGCTACATGACAGCCCCTCCCTCTCTCCCTTTCGCCCCAGGACTTCTGAGTGTGAAGGATTGTCGAGACAGGGCTTATCATCCAATCCCAGCGGGGATTTCAAATACCCTGATTAGATCTCTTGATTAGATCTCTTGATTAGATACTCTAATTAACGAACGACCTTACGGCCATATAATACTCGTCCTTGTTGACACTCTGGCAATCGACATATACAGTATATCGTCAAACACAGCTACCTACGGTAAACCGTCGGGGCAGAGAGGGAGAAAGGGAGAAGAGGACAGCAAACGAGGGGGGGCTGTGACAAACTGTTTCGTCGGAGTTTCACCTAGTAACCTACTCATCGTCAGGAGGAGGCTGAAATGCATAAGATATGGTGCATGGTATGTTCCGTAAAACAAACTCCAGAACTTGTGATCGTGAGCTTGATCCTCATTGGTGGTTGCCAATGACTACTGTGAACAATAAGCCCGTAATTACTGTAATAAGCCCAGACGCGGGCTCAGCGTCAAAGTTCGGCAAAATAAACATTCGCTTCACAAGAACAAGCGTGGCATCAACACGATTTCGTTTTCCATTAATTCACATTATTATTATTCCTAGGGGTCCGCCTGTGTCTGCGCGTATGTCTGTGCCTTGCGCATGTATGTGTATGTATGGATATGTGTGTGTGTGTGTGTGTGTGTGTGTGTTTGTCATGTTCTCGCTAGACACAACTCCACAACAAAAAGGCACGACTGTGCCAGATTGTTTCATCGGACTTTCACCGACTCATCAGCAGGTTGTGTGTGTGCGTGTGTTCTTTTTTTTTTTTTTTTTTTTTG